TGAACCCGAACTAACGGAACACGGGTGTTGGAAAGATTAAATCACTTAAGCATATTGTACTTACATAGACGTTATTGTGGTGGTTAAACAATATACTTACACATGGAGATTAAGGATCAGGCTATTTCTGATGTTGGTCGAGGAGAATGTTTCCTAGACTTGTAATACATACCTGTGTACTTTGATGTAACCACCCCGGTGATACCTGTTGGGGATCCTCACACCTGTAAACTTTAAACACCTGGACTGCCGTCACTACTGTCGTACACTGATAAACCTTTAACATGGGCGAGGACTTTCGTAAACAATCTAAATTCCAACTAACTGGATTACCGGTGAGTTTTTGTTTAGATTATCATACTACCATTTTTATCCATCTACCTGTTTAATCTCTGTAAAATCGCATGATATTTTGCTGATTGGTGTTCTAGAATTTGAATCCTTTATTTACCTGTCTTCTCCAGCCAATTCAACTTCTCATTCACCCAACATTCCACAACTAATACAACTTATTTTACCCTTGACTTGCCTTTTTCGCTGCTTTTCAGAGACTTATTGCTACCTATATATATATACATTCTCTATTACCAGGCACAGTATCACTGCCCCTATAGCTACTACCTCAAGTCCATTTAACTCCTTGCCCCCCCCCCTAAAATCAACCCCTTCTACAATCCCGATTTATGACATACCACCATCATTACTCAAAATACCCTGCCCAAATAAGGATATATGTTAATTCACAGTGACATGCATCTTGTTTAAAATAAAGTTACGATTTTTTTGGGGAGAGATAGGTGGGGATGAGATTAGGTTAATTTATTGATGAAAATTAATATTGGAATAGGTAAACAAGAATGCAATCTATACCAATCAAAACATTTATGTAACCGTGAATTACTATACAAAGTTTATTATTTAAGTAAATTAAAAAGGATAACTCCAGCAGGGGTGATGTGTAACATATAGCACACTAATGAACCCGTCCCTCATTTGTATTGACTTTTATCAACAGGTCATAGAACGTATGAATAAATGAAATATTCTAATAAATAGAATGACATTTAAGTCATGTCAGATCACTCAACATTTACCCACAGTTACTAATTGATTTGTATCTATGTATTAATTAGCAGGGGCATGATAAAGGATAGCTGTGTCAGAAGCCCAGTAGTCCTTAATTAAGTCACCATGTTACCTCAGACGGTCGGTATTGTAATGTCACGCGCACCCTCTGTTTACATATTCATGTTTGACTGAGTTTATTCTTCTCATCTTTTCCTGGACAATGATAAAACTCGGTCAGAAATAATGATAATTTCTGCTGGTGTATTAGATAACATCATTTCAATCATTAGATAGAATTAGGCGAACAACAAGTCTTTTTATAGCGTGTATTGATAAGATATTGGTTTTGTTGAAATATCACCATGGCTTGATCTCCGTTTTATACTTGGAGTACAGTGTTTTACCTGCTGTCCTGATTTCTGTCTTGGAAGGTGTATTATACATAAAATGATAATCTGTGCTGATCATGTGTGTTTAACTGTTGTTTGTTATTGAGATTATTTTTACCTGTAGACAACAGGACAGGTAGAGAGGAGGCAAGGTTTATTTTAAGAATGGGTCGTACACCATTGAGTTTTTGCTCTGTAACTGTTTATTAATCTTATACACTACACACGATTGGCTGCAGTCCAGATACAAGTAGAAGGCATGAGACTGGAGAACTAATGTTTAATTGTCTAGTTATATAGATACCAGTAAGACATGGAGAACAGTAAGATTCTGCCTGCTGTACATACATGACATTTCACTATACCATATATATTTTTGCATTTCTTTGTGAGGAGAGCCAAAGTCAGATATTTAGTGAGATTCATATTTTATAATGAATATGTATAGATCATTTATTATTGTAGTGTTGTCAAACCATTGAACTTTTAGTAGCTGGTTACTTGAAAAATGTTCCAACTGAGTAACTGACTAATTGGTCAACTCCATAATCACACAAGAAAAAACTACCACAAATATAGTATGCAACACAATCAAGCCATATTACACTACATTTGTACACCTAGCCTGACAGTAAACTTACATTGTCCTGATCAAATTCTCAACACCCAGGCTAGGGAGGTACATAACCTCAGTTCAAATATTTTTCAATATTTTCATTTGTGCTACTCAAAAATACATTTTGAATTTTTGTTTGAGAAATGTAAATTTTGGTTAATAAACTACAAAAGGCAGCCTAGTACCATGTGAGGTAATTTTCTATATTTCTATATCATAGTGGCATCATCATCTCTTGTAATAGGTTGTCATTACATCATAATTACACAGAACTGTATAATATGCCTCCCCAAAAGTTATTGTTGCCACTGATTGAAAATCATTGTGCCATAATTTCCTGGCCCTGGGGGTGGGGATGTGGTGGGGGTAGGGATGGATAAATATTCCCTTATCATCTCCTATTCCACTTCTTTACTCTTTTAAATTTACAAAATTGAAATATATTTTTGATGCCTTTTATGCAGGAGGTAAATTTTATGCATGACACCATTGTGTACTGTACATTCTGTGGTATCACCCTTCTATCAAACAAATACATTGAATAATACTTTGACATGTGGAAGTTGTTCAAATAGAGTGTTTAGCTTTACTACAAACTTAAGCCATTTGTAAAACTGTTTTGTATTTTAGCAGTAATCTTGAGAATTTGATAATCTTTTCTTCAGCCTCAAGCCATTTGTTTAACTGTTTTAAACGTGGGCAGTTATCTTAACTCATCTATTAAAAATTTGTAAAACTGTTTGGTATGCAGTTTTCTTTCATTCCCCTGTGTGTAAGATAGAACTGTTCAGGGTAAGAAAGGGGTGTAGGAAATTTCTATCTTACACCTCATTTCATGTGAAGTGACGTCACAATGGCTCAACAATGATGTGACGTCAGAAATTTGGAACTCTCTGATGCCGCAATGCGGAAAAGGTGACGTGATAAAATTAAAACCTTTTACAATATATTTACCGTACACGTTAGAAATATGTGATTATTTTTTCTGCGCAAACACTGTTTGCAAATATGGGATATGCTAAATTTGGCTGGCTAATTCATTTTCATCTAAAAAGCTCAAGAAAAAAATGATATTTTCAAAATGGTGGCCAGTCCAAACACATTTTAATGGTTTCTGAGCAAAATACTCTTTCATGCTCAAGGGTGCAGGATAGGGAACTTCCACCCTCAGGATTTTCAAATTTGGAAAAACCCTCGGCAAAGCCTCAGGTTTTACCAAATTTGAAAACCCCTTGGGTGGAATTTTCCTATCCTACACCTCTGTGCATGAATGAGTCTTATAATCTTTAAAATTTGCTTTCATTTTTGGTATTTAATAATTTGACACTAGAACTTTTTTTATTGAATAGACAGAAACCTGTCTTAGCTACGTACATTGTTGTCTGTTAATTTTCTGACTAACTTTACATCTTATTAATATGGCACCTTTGTCAAACACAAGACTGATATTATGTGTAAGGTTAAAAGATAATTATAATAATATGAGGTTCGTATATATCGCTTTATCACAACCTAGTTTGTAGGTCGTCTCAAAGCGGTTCACAAATTATTATCCATGGTTATAGGGCCTTTGCAACCAGCCAATATCTTTTTCAACTCCCTGGGGAGCATACAGCTGGTGCTGCCATTTCGGCGCTCACAGCTAGCATTAAACAATTCTAACACTGCCCAACTATGTACTCATTTACAGCTGAGTAGACTGGAACAAGCGGAGTAAAGTATCTTGTTCAAAGATACAACACAGTGCTGTGCCGTGACTCGAACCCGCAACACTTCGGTCACGAGCCCGGCATCCTACCACTAGACTACCGTGCCTCCTTAGATGTTTTTATCTGTTACTCAGAAAGGGACAATCACAAGAAAATCTTTCATGATTTTTGTCAAAATATATAAATTGAAATGCATTGATAGTATAGGTTATAAAAAGCACCAATAGGATAGGTTATAAAAAGCACCAATGGGTAAACAGATTTGATCTGTCAGATATATCACTTTCAATATGAACACTCTAGACCAGGGCTGTTCCCATTCTCACATTAAGAAAGCCCAAACCTAAAATGGTAAATAACAGCCTATTTTTCCTTTTTTAGAGGGTGAGGGGATGTTTATGATACAAGACCCCAGTGTTGGTCACAGTCCTATGAGGCAGATGATCTACAACACATAATGTCAAACATAGATCTGTATTCCAACATGGAACCCTGAAGATTTTGGCTGGTAATGCGTCATATATTTGTTTTGGTTTAAAAGATCAGACATAGAGAGCTATGCCAAGTTTCTTAATCTCAGGATAGGTCACAATTACATCTGTCAAAAAAAATATTCAATTTCAACTGGTGAATTTTCAACAAGATGTTATCCTGTGGTAATATATTCAGGTGTCTGTGTCATGATCTGCTGGTGGTTATCTCCCTTGACAGTTGATCACGTCACTAGAAATACTGAAGTTCAGTATAAGACATTGTTATAATGGTATCAAGTTATCTAATCTTTCAAAAGGATGGGACCTTACAGGAATGAGATTTTCAGTAATCTATAGGAACAATTGAGATGATATTATTGAACAAATAATTGAACATACAGTTGTAACAGGAAAGAGAGCTGTATGTTTTGATGTGGAATCAAACCAGTGGACCCAGCCTCCCAGTCCGCTGCTCTGCCAATTGAGATAAAGGATAATTCTCTCTAGCACAAAGCTACAAGGAGTCCATGATCATGCGTTAAAACCTGAGACATACAATGTTCATTTTGAAATTCTGAGTTAATTGAACAGCCATATTGATAATGGATAATTGACAGGAATAGATTTAAATGACCAGACCTCCTTATTAATTTGAAATGGTTTATTTTTTATTTTTCTATGAAATGTGGTCAGATCATTTCAACTGGACCTCCATGTATGACATGTATGACAGTGATAAACTTACCTTACCATGTTCCTGTCCACTGATCTACTGCCATCATGAATCTGTAACGGAGATTGTGATTGGTTATAATAAAGACAACTAGTTTTGAGTCACTTACTCCCTCTTACAGCTCAATTAAAAGTTAAAAGAGGTCACTGAAAAACGTTTGACATTTTTTGATGGAAGGCTTTCCTAAACTGTTTAAATTTAGAAAATCTACTCCATAAGATCTGTCACCCATGTAATACTTGAGCCGTTGAATAAGATATCATTTTTCTTTCGTATGGTACATCCTAAGGTGCTCCTGTAAATATCACGGCCAAAACTGAAATTTGCTGGAAATAGGTCGCTGGTCTTATATGTCCCAGAATAAAACATCTATACAGCTGTATGAATGAGCACAGCTTTTTACCAGTATGATGAAATTGTGATAGACTGATGTCCTTGTAAGAGAAGTGAAAAGATCTCATAACTCCTAATTCTCTTTCCCACTGCATATTGTCCTTACTCTGTGAGGGAATGAAGGACTTCCATAACTCCTAATTCTCTTTCCCACTGCATATTGTCCTTACTCTGTGAGGGAATGAAGGACTTCCATAACTCCTAATTCTCTTTCCCACTGCATACTGTCCTTACTCTGTGAGGGAATGAAGGACTTCCATAACTCCTAGTTCTCCTTTAGAATACTAATTGTCCAGAGTGTGTTGTTCATTATCTAGGTGACTGGCAGTGGTGTGTTTTGGAGGAGACTTTGTATACTGTCTTGATTCATTCCAGATTTAATTAAGTTATGATGTACGTCAAGATTTGGCCTTATATTAGCTGTAATTGGTCTTAAACATGCACACACACAGGATCAAACATTATACTGTACACTAAGTAGATTGTTTACTTTTCACCGAGATAAACACATTTGTTATGATAATAAAGATACGCTTTAGTGTATTAAGTCATTATTGTCATGTATGGAAATATTATAAGTACTTACCTGTATAGAGACAAATAGACGTCTATATATATTCCAAACACTTACTTTAATGTCTGTTTAACTCAATATTTTAAACTTGATTTTACCTGTATTAGTTCATGATCCAGAGATTGTAGAAGCCTCTTTCTTACTGTTCATTGGATAATAAATCACATATCTTTCTCATTTGTCACCTCATGAAGTGAACTTGCCTTCAACGTGTGAATTGAACAAAAAGTACTTGGTATGGTATCAGTCCAAGGGGGGTCGGTTTCCGATGACTCCGAGATTGCATCCAGAGACTCTGCATTTAAACTTCTATTTATCTGAAACATTTCTTTACAGTTTAATGGAATGATTTAAGTCTATTTACAAAACCTTTCATTTAAAGTTCACGTCTTTGTGCTGGTGTTTGGATATAGAAGTTAAAATTCCAGTCCAGGTTTGTTGGATAAGTTGAAGTGTAAACATGACACTAGGCAACAAATCCATCCTGAACTTGAAATTACATGTACAGTGACGTCATATCACTGAATTATGTATTACTGAGCACTGCTAAAGGCTTTACATTGATTTTTTCATTTATCTGAGAAAACAATTACCCCTGACAAAGAGATCTCAAAAAACCTTGAAGAATTGTGTTCAGGTATACACTGTCCACGGGACGTTTATACTGAAAGTGAAGCTTGTCTGTGACAGAGGCATTGTCTGATGTCAGGAGGACAAACACAGCATTGTCGGAGTGTATACACAGAGCTGTCTCTAAAGTTTTGTTTCTCGGGACAGGAAAAGACTTTCTCTGGTGTGGAATCACCTGTGGGAATCATTTTGTTTTACATTGGATATAAACGGTGCTTAAGTAACCTTTGCTATTTATAAATTCTACAAGATATCGACTGCAATCAATGCAGTCATCAAGGCATTGCTGATACCTGTCCTGCACATTTTTAAACAAGTAATTACTTTGGAGTAAAATAAAATATTGTAAAAATGGTGGATGTTTTTCGAGGAATGGCAGACAGTCCAGACATAGACCCAATGGTAAGGTAACATTTATTTTTTTGTTTAGTCATGTATTTGGAAAGAAACACAACAGTTTTCCCATTGAATACCGATATAAATATATTTCAATCATATAGCAGAAAATACTGATATTTCCACTCCTGCTTCGTATACTCCTAAAAAAGAAGATATTTAGCAGGAAACGAAGCAAATCTTCTATAAAAGTTAACATATATTTTATTGACTGTTAATTTAACCTGTGATCCGACGTATGGGGCCAAGCTCCTAGAAGGGTGTTAAAATTATCTGTGGTAAGATGGTAGATAAGGGGCCTTTTGTTCTTAGAACTGGGGTAAATTTACATTGATATAACCAAAGGATGTGTAGTTCTTAGAAATGGTATCAAATTTACCTGTGACCAGGCTGTTGTGGTCTTCGTCAGTATAACATCAGTATAAAAATTACCTCTGACCAGGCCGTTAGGGGCCTTATGTCAAAATCAGTTTAAAATTTACCTGTGACTAGGCTGTTGTGGTTTTCGTATTAACATCAGTATAAAAATTGCCTCTGACCAGGCCGTTAGGGGCTTTATGTCAACATCAGTTTAAAATTTACCTGTGACTAGGCTGTTGTGGTCTTCGTATTAACATCAGTATAAAAATTAACTCTGACCAGGCCGTTAGGGGCCTTATGTCAAAATCAGTTTAAAATTTACCTGTGACCCGGCCTTTGGGTGCTTCGGGTTAACATCAGTTTTAAATTTACCTGTAATCAGGCTGTTTGGGGCCTCGTGTTAACATCAGTATGAAATGTACCTGTGATCAGGTTGTTTGGGGCCTCATGTTAACATCAGTATGAAACTTACCTGTGATCAGGCTGTTTGGGGCCTCATGTTAACATCAGTATGAAATTTGCCTGTGATCAGGCTGTTTGGGGACTCGTGTTAACATCAGTATAAAATTTACTTGTAATCAGGCTGTTGGAGGCTTCTTGTTAACATCAGTATGAAATTTACCTTTGATCAGGATGTTTGGGGCCTCATGTTAACATCAGTATAAAATTAACCTGTGACCAGTCTATTGGGGCTTCTTGTTAACATCAGTATAAAATTAACTTGTGACCAGGCTGTGGGGGCCTCTTGTTACCATCAGTATAAAATTTACCTGTGATCAGGCTGTTTGGGGCCTCATGTTAACATCAGTATGAAACTTACCTGTGATCAGGCTGTTTGGGGCCTCGTGTTAACATCAGTATGAAATTTACCTGTGCTCAGGATGTTTGGGGCCTCATGTTAACATCAGTATGAAATTTGCCTGTGATCAGGCTGTTTGGGGACTCGTGTTAACATCAGTATAAAATTAACTTGTGACCAGGCTGTGGGGGCCTCTTGTTACCATCAGTATAAAATTTACCTGTGATCAGGCTGTTTGGGGCCTCGCGTTAACATCAGTATAAAATTAACCTGTGACCAGGCTATTGGGGCTTCTTGTTAACATCAGTATAAAATTAACTTGTGACCAGGCTGTGGGGGCCTCTTGTTACCATCAGTATAAAATTTACCTGTGATCAGGATGTTTGGGGCCTCATGGTAACATCAGTATGAAATTTACCTGTAATCAGGCTGTTTGGGGCCTCATGTTAACATCAGTATGAAATTTACCTGTAATCGGGCTGTTGGAGGCTTCGTGTTAACATCAGCATGAAATTTACCTGTAATCAGGCTGTTTGGGGCCTCGTGTTAACATCAGTATGAAATGTACCTGTGATCAGGTTGTTTGGGGCCTCATGTTAACATCAGTATGAAACTTACCTGTGATCAGGCTGTTTGGGGCCTCGTGTTAACATCAGTATGAAATGTACCTGTGATCAGGTTGTTTGGGGCCTCATGTTAACATCAGTATGAAACTTACCTGTGATCAGGCTGTTTGGGGCCTCATGTTAACATCAGTATGAAATTTGCCTGTGATCAGGCTGTTTGGGGACTCGTGTTAACATCAGTATAAAATTAACCTGTGACCAGGCTATTGGGGCTTCTTGTTAACATCAGTATAAAATTAACTTGTGACCAGGCTGTTGGGGCCTCTTGTTAACATCAGTATAAAATTAACCTGTGACCAGGCTATTGGGGCTTCTTGTTAACATCAGTATAAAATTTACCTGTAATCAGGCTGTTGGAGTCTTCGTGTTAACATCAGTATGAAATTTACCTGTGATCAGGATGTTTGGGGCCTCATGTTAACATCAGTATGAAATTTACCTGTGATCAGGCTGTTTGGGGCCTCATGTTAACATCAGTATAAAATTAACCTGTGACCAGGCTGTTGGGGCCTCGTGTTAACATCAGTATAAAATTTACCTGTAATCCTTGTTTCAGGAAAGAGAGTAAAATGTTTGCTGCAGATTTTAATGATTTGTATTGATCAGCTACAGAGATACAGGATAGTAAAAGCATGGACTTGGACATCAAATATAATTCCATGGTATAAGTTTTATGCCATAATACTTATAATTAAAATTTGTTTATCTGAGAGTTTAAAAATGGTGGGGATAACCTATATCATCTGTAAAATTTATGTTACATCGCTGAAATAGTTTGAAATGAAAATAATGAAACACTTTAAAGACTGAAGGAAAAGTCTGTTTAAACTGTCAAAAAGGCAAGATATTGTTTAGACACTGAAGTATGGTTTATATTTACATTGAAAAATTAATGTGTCTAAAACATTTTATTATGTAAATACATCTTCAGAAAGTGTATATAGTTTATCATCATATAAATGCAAATACACCAGGGACATGTGACGTAGGGACAACAAAAGGAGAAGCTCAGACTTACCTTTATCTGTATGAAAGAAAACTGGGGACATTCTCCGTACAGCATGCCACTTCAGACCTTCAATGTAGGGGAATGAAAACATGGTCGATGAGACAACGGTTCTATTGATGTCCAACAACTAATGAGAAATGTCCATGTGTAGTACGAACTTCTCCGAGCTTCTTCCGTAATTTAAGATGGTAATCGTGGTTCAAAAGGCCTTGGTTCTTTGATCAGTTTACATTAACATTGCAATTTCTACCTGTATCAAACTAACTTGTTCCACCTGAACGACTGTTACTGCATTGATTATTATAACTCTTGATTCAAGAATGTGTGAAATAAGTCTGCCTAATAACGGTAACACATTCTGCCTGAGAAAAGGTGAAAGAAATACAGTCTATTAACTTCTAATGAGAAAATTGCGAACAAGAAAAACCCAGATTTGTATTGAATGCAATACATAGAAAGGCAATTTACTTACAATCAACAGAGTTAATTTTGTGTGGCTTTTCTAATGAAAGGGACTGGGAGTTCTTTTTGAAATTGTATGAGCCAGGTTCTACCTGATATAATGTAATATCCTGGTGGAATTTAACTTCTATAATCAACTCTGTGGTAGGGGAGTTCATTAAGGTATTTTGTCATTAGAAGGACTTATCTGAGTACACCTGAAGTTACCTGGGTACCTACCTGTGCATACCTTATGTGCTGAAGACAACACACAGACACAGCACCATTTGTAGAGATACATTATACAAAACATTCAGAATCGTCAAGATGTCCAAACCGTTCAACCTGACCGCTCACTTTGAGACCAAGGGGCTTGTTCAGCGTGTAAAAGCCTTCGAAACCCTGGTAATGGATGAAAAGAGGATTTACTCATAACTTGATTTTTAGTCTTGACATTTTAGTGTCAAGTTATGTCTTGGTACACTATAGTGAATCCTGTCTAAACAGAATACCACAGAACGTAGTGTTTCTGGTCGGAACTGATAGGTTTCCAGATGATTTCTGTTTAGTTTATTGATAAACGTTTACAGAAAGGCCAACAGGGAACAGTTTGATGGTCTTAGCCTCCTCTTTATCACCAATATCTTGGAATACAGATGATATATACTAGACCGATGCTACTGGTCCATATGGCAGGAGCTAATTTATTTTGTTTATATATATCTGTTTCTTGATTGTACAGGGTTCAGATTGCAGTCTCATTGCATTTCAGGAGCGAATAAAGATTGAGAATAAATGTAGATAGAATAATACTGTATAGCATATCAAATGGGCAAGGTTGATTTAATCTATGGTAAGTTCAGTCAGATGAATTAAATGTATGTTTCCATGGTTACAGGATGCTGTGAAGATGAACCAGCTCCAGAACTTGATACATGATGCTCTGATCTCCACCAATAATGTCCAGCACTGTGCCATCGTCAGGAGGAAGGACTGTAATGTCCGTGCCAGTTCTGTGGGTTTCAATGTAAGTCACTAAGGACGAAGGGCTGTAATGTCCATGCTAGTTCTGTCGGCTTCAATGTAGGTCACTAAGGAGGAAGGACTGTAATGTCCGTGCTAGTTATGTGGGCTTCAATGTAGGTCACTAAGGAGGAAGGACTGCAATGTCCGTGCAAGTTCTGTCAGCTTCCATGTAGGTCACTAAGGAGGAAGGACTGTAATGTTCGTGCTAGTTCTGTCAGCTTCCATATAGGCCACTAAGGAGGAAGGACTGTAATGTCCGTGCCAGTTCTGTCAGCTTCCATGTAGGTCACTAAGGAGGAAGGACTGTAATGTAGGTGCTAGTTCTGTGGGCTTCAATGTAGGTCACTAAGGAGGAAGGACTGTAATGTAGGTGCTAGTTCTGTGGGCTTCAATGTAGGTCACTAAGGAGGAAGGACTGTAATGTTCGTGCTAGTTCTGTGGGCTTCAATGTAGGTCACTAAGGGGGAAGGACGGCAATTTACTTGCTAGTTCTGTGGGCTTCAATGTAGGTCACTAAGGAGGAAGGACTGTAATGTTCGTGCTAGTTCTGTGGGCTTCAATGTAGGTCGCTAAGGAGGAAGGACTGTAATGTCCGTGCCAGGTATATGGGCTTCAATGTAGGTCACTAAGGAAGAAGGACTGTTATGTCTGTGCCAGCTCTGTGCACTTCAATGTAGGTCACTAAGGAGGAAGGGCTGTAATGTCCATGCCAGCTCTGTGGGCTTCAATGCAGGTCACTAAGGAGGAGGACTGCAATGTCCGTGCTAGTTCTGTGGGCTTCAATGTAGGTCGCTAAGGAGGAAGGACTGTAATGTTCGTGCTAGTTCTGTCAGCTTCCATGTAGGCCACTAAGAAGGAAGGGCTGGAATGTCCGTGCCAGTTCTGTCAGCTTCCATATAGGCCACTAAGGAGGAAGGACTGTAATGTCCGTGCCAGTTCTGTCAGCTTCCATATAGGCCACTAAGGAGGAAGGACTGTAATGTCCGTGCCAGTTCTGTCAGCTTCCATGTAGGTCACTAAGGAGTAAGGACTGTAATGTTCGTGCTAGTTCTGTGGGCTTTAACATAGGTCACTAAGGGGGAAGGACTGTAATGTCTGTGCTAGTTCTGTGGGCTTCAACGTAGGTTACTAAGGGGGAAGGACTGTAATGTTCGTGCTAGTTCCGTGGGCTTCAACATAGGTCACTAAGGGGGAAGGACTGTAATGTTCGTACTAGTTCTGTGGGCTTCAACGTAGGTCACTAAGGGGGAAGGACTGTAATGTGCGTGCTAGTTCTGTGGGCTTCAACATAGGTCACTAAGGGGGAAGGACTGTAATGTTCGTACTAGTTCTGTGGGCTTCAACGTAGGTCACTAAGGGGGAAGGACTGCAATGTTCGTGCTAGTTCTGTGGGCTTCAACATAGGTCACTAAGGGGGAAGGACTGTAATGTTCGTGCGAGTTCTGTGGACTTCAACATAGGTCACTAAGGGGGAAGGACTGTAATGTCTGTGCTAGTTCTGTGGGCTTCAACGTAGGTTACTAAGGGGGAAGGACTGTAATGTTCGTGCTAGTTCCGTGGGCTTCAACATAGGTCACTAAGGGGGAAGGACTGTAATGTTCGTGCTAGTTCCGTGGGCTTCAACATAGGTCACTAAGGGGGAAGGACTGTAATGTTCGTGCTGGTTCTGTGGGCTTCAACATAGGTCACTAAGGGGGAAGGACTGTAATGTTCGTACTAGTTCTGTGGGCTTCAACGTAGGTCACTAAGGGGGAAGGACTGCAATGTTCGTGCTAGTTCTGTGGGCTTCAACATAGGTCACTAAGGGGGAAGGACTGTAATGTTCGTACTAGTTCTGTGGGCTTCAACGTAGGTCACTAAGGAGGAAGGACTGTAATGTTCATGCTAGTTCTGTGGGCTTCAACATAGGTCACTAAGGGGGAAGGACTGTAATGTTCGTGCTGGTTCTGTGGGCTTCAACATAGGTCACTAAGGGGGAAGGACTGTAATGTTCGTGCGAGTTCTGTGGACTTCAACATAGGTCACTAAGGGGGAAGGACTGTAATGTCCGTGCCAGTTCTGTCAGCTTCCATATAGGCCACTAAGGAGGAAGGACTGTAATGTCCGTGCCAGTTCTGTGGGCTTCAATGTAGGTCGCTAAGGAGGAAGGACTGTAATGTCCGTGCTAGTTCTGTGTGCTTCAATGTAGGTCACTAAGGAGGAAGGACTGTAATGTAGGTGCTAGTTCTGTGGGCTTCAATGTAGGTCACTAAGGGGGAAGGACTGTAATGTCCATGCTAGTTCTGTGGCCTTCAATGTTTGTCACTAAGGAGGAAGGACTTCAATGTCTGTGCCAGCTCTGTCGGCTTCAATGTAGGTCACTAAGGAAGAAGGACTGTAATGTTCGTACAAGTTCTGTCGGCTTCAATGTAGGTCACTAAGGAGGAAGGACTTCAATGTCCGTGCCAGTTCTGTCGGCCTCAATATAAGTCACTGTGACGATATACTATACTTAGAAAGCTGTTGTATACTCACCTGATATATTTACTATCATGATGAGTTTGCCCTCATTACGGGTAGGTGGTAGGAAGTGGGTATTAAACGAGGTTGCCCAAGACATGTTATGTTGAATTGAAATTAAGATAAGTTGCTCAGTATAGGTTATAATATACTGAAGGTGTGGTTACATATTTTAATGTTTTGTACCGTAACTGGACTGGGTCGATTGTCAGCGACCAGATAGTTCAATTGGTAGAGCGTCCGTCTAGAGTTAGCGTCCTGTAACTGTATCAACTCAATGGGATGTTGTTCCTGTAACTGTATCAACTCAATGGGAGGTTGTTCCTGTAACTGTATCAACTCAATGGGAGGTTGTTCCTGTAACTGTATCAACTCAATGGGAGGTTGTTCAAGAAAGGTTATACTGTGTTATATGTAACAAAATTAGTAGTTGCTTAAGACAGGTTTAGTTGTAGCATCAATAAAGAGGTGGTTGCTTAAGACAGGTTTAGTTGTAGCATCAATAAAGAGGTGGTTGCTTAAGACAGGTTTAGTTGTAGCATCAATAAAGGGGTGGTTTCTTAAGACAGGTTACACTGTATTAAGGATCCCTATCCCACTGCACTGTGGTTTTCCATATATACAGTTCCTTCTCTTTAACTTCTGTGTGGGTATAACTGTAGCACAGTTGTGTCAGGACACCTGCATTGACCAGCTAGGTAGCTCAATTATTGGTTAGAGTAATAACAATCAAGTCTAGTGTTCGGACCCCAGTCTATCCCAGATGATTTTTTTTCCACTCAGAACTACGTTGTTGATATTTTGTGTAAGTCTATGGTTTTCTTTTCAGAAATGATTTATCAAAGCCATAGTCATGCTGGAAAACACTTTCCAACACTAAGTTAGAGTTATTGGCAGTGGTACAGGGATCCTTAAGACAGGGAGTATAAATATAGGTTTTAAGTAGGAGGATTATATCTGTTGTAGCTGTATCCGGACCAGGTACAGATGTTACTGGATGCCTTTAAGAACCCGCCTCAGACACGGGAGGAAGGAGTATACTTCGATGACGGACAGTACAAATGTGTTAGGGCAGATAAAAACTCTATTTATGGGAAATGTGTGAGTAAACGTATTGCAATCTTAAAATGACATGTCAATTAAAAAAATCAAGATTGTCTTTTGTTACTTTGTACTGAAGAAATAAATAATAGTTTGTTTGCATTTCAACCTAATCTGAGTTCATGTTCATAGGCTATACCTATATATTACAATTTACAATTATTATTCATTGGTAGATTGAATTTTTAACTTATTCCAAAATGTAATGATTAGAAATCAAAAGCAATACTTACAATGGTATTATACCATTCTTATACAGTTTTTAATAAACAATTATAGTTAGGAGAATTATGTTTGTTTCTAGGAAAAGAAGGGATTGATACTGGTGAAGACACTGTCAATGCTTGTGGTGGCAACTTACACAGAGAGCATGTACCCCAGTGTGTGTGTGGAGGCAGTAGAAAAACTCGGTAATGATCACAGCTTCCATAGATACCTTACTGTGACATTCACCTCCTATTCAGGAGAGCTCCAAACAGTGAAATCTCTACATAATGTTTTGATGAATAGTAATTTGAGGTGTACACAAACATTGATTTATACAGTACTTTGAAATGTAACAAGTTTGTATTCAAGTAATTCTGAATAATCAATTTAAGGTTATATTAAAAGAGAGATAACTCCCAACAAAACTGAATAGTAGCATACACCCTTAATACCTTTAAGAATAGGTAGTGTTTATATGTGTCCACAGTGAAAACAAAAAGCCATTGGGATCATATTTTTTTTCAAAGGTTTTTCAATGTTTATAATATCCTGAAACGAAAAAGAAATGCAACTTCAAGTTTGAGGATTAATAAAATGATATTTATAAGCATTATATGTCCAGATTTCAGATGTAACGGTTAATGTTGAATAATGATTTCACTGCCAACAATTTTCAGGGATTATTGATAAAAGGTGCCTTCATCAGATTGCCATGAAATAAAGTACCTATTATTATTCCAGTCCTTGACAAGTGCATTGTCTAACTGGGGGAGGGTATTTAGGGGAGATCCTAGGATTCTCAAGTCTCCTTTCTAGTTGATGTCCCACAGGTGTTCGATTGGGGATACATTTGGGCTATACTGAGTCAATAGCCAGGATGATGTTCTGTGTAACAAGAATGCCTGAACCTTAACCAATCCACCTGGGAATTTAAATACTGATTTCATTTCAGTAATAATTACCATAACTTTAGTATGCATATACAATACCTACACCCATCTTTGTAGCCCAAAAACAAAAGATTCAAATATCCCTACCTCCCTACCGTGACGTAACCTATATCTCGATGACAGAGCCACGGAGGGATCTCCCTTCCTCTTCCTTTTATGGCGCCTGCTGCATGCTGACGCCCGGAGCTTGCTCCAATTCAAAACTTTGTTTTGTCGGTTTGGTTTGAGTGTCAACTCATATTTTTGCGCAGTTTGTGTGCCTTTTACCCATCTGCCCTTATTGATATAACTAATTGTTGTTGAAAATTATTTTTGTGCCTTTTACGGCCAGTTATTTTACTCCACGTGTGCCGGTGGTGTGCCACGGTTCGCCATTATCGTGGGTTAATATTCGACCTCTGTTTATTTCGGTGGCGGTTGTTTGTCTCGGCAAACGTTATTTATTTTGACCGTTTTCTGATTTATATTACGGGTGAAATTCTTTCTATCATTATTTTCCCGTTTTATCTGCTTGTAAATTTTTGTTTACGTTCGCTTTGGAGGGTATGTCTCGGTCGGGACAGCGACGAGGTAGTGCTCATGGGTGTTCCCATTTCTTTGTGGAACGGGACCCTCATGATGCTTGTCCCAGGTGTCGTCCTTGCAGTGAGGTTTCGCCTTGTGAACTTTGTTCACAGACTAAATCTCAGGGCAAGGACTTCATTGTTCCAAAGCTGCCCTCAACTTACTGTAAGACAGATCCGTTTGTTTCTTCCGGTAAGCAGAGAGGTAGGGGTCTTGCCACCAGCTCTCTGGGGTCTGGTGGTACTGTCTGTTCCTGTCTCGGGGGGTCTTGCTTCGGCGAGTCCCTCTCATGAGCAGGGGGTGGCCCTTCCTCTCCAGGAACTCCCTGGAGTAGGGGAGGGGCAGCCTGACCCTGGCTTGGCACAGCCAAGGGTCGAATTGGCCGGGAACGCCCGTAAGCTTTCGCGCTTGCCTTCGGGTAGGGACTACCGGCCGCCGGTCACTGACTCTGTCAGTGATCCCGGCATTCCAGGTGGTGCTGTCGTTGGGGACAGTCTTGGTGCCGGGCCTGTTCTTTCGGGTTCAGGTCCTGGTGTGACAACAGACTTTCTTTCGGGATTGTCTGTGTCTACCGGGATTAGTGACGCGCAGCTCACTAATCCCGGCATCAATGCTGGTCAGGCATACCCTCCCGGTCAGTTACCCGGACCCGGTCCTATTAGGTCCGGTCCCGAGTTTCATTCTTCTGGGAACCTGGGGGGTTTCCCCCCAGGGGTTGGGTTTGCTGGACAGGGGGCCGGTTTCCGGCCTCCGTTTTCCCCTGGCTTAGGGTATACGGGTGCCTGCGGGCAACCATCCTTGGGCCGCCCTTACCAGCCTGCGGATGGTTTTGGGTTGCGGCAGCATCCCGGCAGTTACGGGCTTAGCCCGTACATGTCCGGGTTTCCACCTGGAGGGAGTGGCGGTCCACCTTCGCCCTTTGGGCAAGTTGGCCAGCCCCAGTCTCAGGCAGGCCAGTTTGGCCAGTTCTGGGGTCACTCCCAGCCCGCGGGACCTTTCCCCTATCCTCCGGGATATGGGTTTAACCCCATGGCATTTCCGTCATGGAATCCTTGGGGTTTGGTCTCTCCCTCGCGGAGACGTGTTAGCANGATTTTTATCTCCGGTCCTTGGCCTCTCATTCTGATGGATTGTATTCCCTTGGACCGGTGGTGGTTGCACAGTCTGTGGCTGTTCCTCCACAGTAATTCAGTGATTTTAAATAGTATGCTATCAGGCACCACGGTGGTACACCTGCTCGTTTCACGGGGAGGTTTTCCATTTTTTAATTACTTTCGGGGCTTTATTAGGGGGGTTCCTTGAACCTTTTCCCTACCTTGAGCATGTCTCGAGTTTGTTCCGTCAGCCTGGTCTGCCTGGATTCGAAGCCTCCACTACGGTAAGACGAATTCGCATACTAAAGTTATGGTAATTATTACTGAAATGAAATTGAGGTTTTTGAAGTAAAACCAATTTTCATGATGTAATACTTACCATAACTTTATGGAGTCCCACCCTGTATTCCTCCCCTTGCCTCCTCATCCTGGCTGCCTTTAGGCTCCATAAAAGGGGGTTTGAGGAAGGGAGATCACTCCGTGGCTCTGTCATCGAGATATAGGTTACGTCACGGTAGGGAGGTAGGGATATTTGAATCTTTTGTTTTTGGGCTACAAAGATGGGTGTAGGTATTGTATATGCATACTAAAGTTATGGTAAGTATTACATCATGAAAATTGGTTTTACTTCAAAAACCTCAAATTAGCCTAGCTTAAAAACATGAGCTGTGGCTATATGCTGAAATAGCTGAGTGGTCTCCCCTTTATAATGTTGTAATTAAATGTTAGACTCTACCAACTTACCTTTATAATGTTGTAATTAAATGTTAGACTCTACCAACTTACCTTTATAATGTTGTAATTAAATGTTAGACTCTACCAACTTACCTTTATAATGTTGTAATTAAATGTTAGACTCTACCAACTTACCTTTATAATGTTGTAATTAAATGTTAGACTCTACCAACTTACCTTTATAATGTTGTAATTAAATGTTAGACTCTACCAACTTACCTTTATAATGTTGTAATTAAATGTTAGACTCTACCAACTTACCTTTATAATGTTGTAATTAAATGTTAGACTCTACCAACTTACCTTTATAATGTTGTAATTAAATGTTAGACTCTACCAACTTACCTTTATAATGTTGTAATTAAATGTTAGACTCTACCAACTTACCTTTATAATGTTGTAATTAAATGTTAGACTCTACCAACTTACCTTTATAATGTTGTAATTAAATGTTAGACTCTACCAACTTACCTTTATATGATATATACAGTCAGGACTCTACCAACTTACCTTGTTATGATATATACAGTCAGGATGCTTCATGTCACATTGCGTGTATACAAAGATACCTGGGCGTGGGTAATGCTAATGCCTTGTTGTCTGATTTCAGCTGATTACTTCAAAGAAAAAGGGAAATAGTGTTCACCAGATGAAGTTTGACTGCTGTCCTTTTGGATGATAGATTGAAGCCAATGAAATTCTTCACACTGCCAAACTGCATCTGTGATGTGCTCTGACAAACATTGCTACCGATACACCTGGGTAACTAGGGTGTAGAATCTCAGACCTGGTGGAGAACATGCATGTCAGACTCGTTTATATATGCCATCCAACTGGACTGTAATTTTCTAAATACATGTTTGAGCAATTACACTTGCCTATGGTAAATGAATTGAACTGAAAATGTTTCCTGCATATGTAAGTTTTATTTTCTCTCCAGTTTTGGTAAGGTTCTGTGAGTTTCCAAGTAAAAAATGCAGTGAACTTTTCTGTCAATCAATGTATATGGACAGGTATACGTATTCAAGGTTACATTATTTGGTCATTTTTTTTCTACTGAAGTACAAATGCAAAACACAGTCTATCAGTAGATTTCTAATTGTACATAAGGCAATACTACCAGCATGCATTGTATCTTGCCTCTGTGACTAAAGTATAAGTATTACTTTTACAACTTCAAAGTTATATGAAAGAAAGAACTTGTACATGCATAAGTTAAATTGGAACCAAATATTGATTAGGTGTCTCAGTTGATGTTAATGCCTGTTTCAAACAGTGTAAATTGTAGGATGAAGTATATTATGGAGGTAGAATGTGTGTTATGGATGAGATTGAGTGAAACAATCAACTTTGTCAAAATTGATATATTTTTATTCCATATATAATTGATATTTTCTATATTTTACATAATTAGAATGATTAGTTTCATGTTACTGTATATTAAAAATTTGAATTGTTCCAGTCATATAAATATATTTTAAACATAAAACTTTGGTAAGGTAGTTATGTTTAAGTACACTGTCTTATGATTTATCTCCCGTTATATGGTTGATATTTAACTGATATAATACAGATACTGGTTACTGGTATCAGTTGTAAGACCTCTTTGTTCATCTGGACCAACACTGTTTCTCTTAAATTTTTGAAGAATGGATATTTGCACAACAGGACTATTTTTAATTTATTTATTTTTTTGTTATTTTTAAATATTACTGATATTTACATTCAGAACCCAGTGTCATAAAGTTCATATATATATATATATACTGTTTAAAAAAACAATAATTGTACTTATTTTCACAAATATTGTAGTGTTTTTGAAATATTTCCTCTGCTTGATGGTCTATATGTTCTAGTAACAGATCATTAAAGGGAGAAACCTGTCAACAGGCCTTTAAAGATTCATTAAAGGGAGACAACCATCAAACAGCTGATGGTAGCATGCCTTGATCTTTTTCTCTCATCTTTTAGTAAAACAAATCAGTAAATTAAGCAAATGGATACTTTAATCAAACAAACAACATATTTGGACTGAGAGAATCAAGAGAAGTAGAGTAAAATAAATAGTATACTTTAAATTTGTGAAATAATTGAGGTGATGTTGGTTGTCGACTGTGTTTTGGCAGTAGATATTCCATTACTGATGAAAATGAGCTCACATTTAACATCAAAGTCTGACAAGTTACTTAACATTTTGAACTTAAATTCCTAGTTATGATTTAGGAAAATGTAGTTCCTGAACTAGAGGCTAAAGAGTGTCCCATTGTGGGTTGGAGGTATTCTTTCGCTGGTTATGATGCATCAAAACTTTTCTCTATGTCAGACTCGGATATACTTGTCTCATCCTGGGGTTGAGGTTAGAGGATTCCTCAGTCATACCAATTGTATGACACAATGCATTGATGTAACATGAATTTACATATATGACAACACAGCGCTTACAGGGTAAATGGGGGAAAAAGGGAGGATTTCAAACCTCGGGAGAAAGATTCTTCACTCGCCAAACACCGGAAGAGCACAAAGCTTGCCAACTTAAGGATCTTCAGGTTGAGATACCCCATGTGGGTGAAAGTCGGACTAGTTTGCATATATGCAGAGATATGAGAAAATGAGTTACAACTCAGGTTGTTGTTTATAAATCAGAAAGGATTTCAAACTTTTTAGAAATTACTATACATACCATAGGTATGAGAAATTCATGCGATACAATAAGTGTGATATTTACATAAGGTATATCCGTCCATATAAAATTTTGTGAAAATTGTGTTTCCTTACTATGCATGCTGTATTAATGTGCCATATGCATATATGTAAATACATGTACTTGAACATACTCATTCCAGATTCTTGTATTTGTTTGATACGTGTGTTTTCTTAGTAATCAATCTTCAAAAAGAATGTATGATGCCACTTTTGAAGCAAATAGTCCCAAACCATTCCAGTTATGTCCCTTTAAATATATATCGTGTAATGAAGTGCTTTCACCATATCTAGGGTTCCAGTTATGTCCCTTTGAATATATATTGTGTAGTGAAGTGCTTTCACCATATCTAGGGTTCAACAGCAGCATTATACAGCATTATACACATGGGTGTCATACAAAAAGCTGGATTTGTTAAATTATTCAGTCTTTAAAACTGTTTTGTGAAAATTTATTCTTGTATAAATGTTCTATTTACATATTTGAACATGTTCTTATTTTTGTAATTTTCATTGAATAAATTACAATACTAACTTGTGTTATAAACATGGTATTGCTCATTTTATTAGCTCACCTGGTCCAAAGGACCATGGTGAGCTAATGCTATACCGCAGCGTCCATCGTCCCTCCACTTTTCCTTTAAAGGGCTACTAGTCCTGAACGGCCAAGTAGATTTTGACTAAATTTGGTCTGGAAGATCCTTGGGCCAAGGGGACTCAATTTTTTATAAACGGTGGGTGTGGCCCCCCTAGGGGAAATATATAACAAATTCTTTAAAACCCGTCTTCTGTAGGAATGAAAGGATTTGTTCCATATTTGGTCAGAAGCAACCTTGGGGAAAGGGGAACAAATTTTGTATAAACCGTTGGTCTGGCCCCCCCCAGGGCCTAATAGGGGAAATAGAGGTACCGCGGGTAAAACCTTTATAATCCTTCTTCTACCATCAGGATTAAGGGATTTTATCCTTATTTATTCAGGAGCATCCTTGGGCAAAAGGGACTCAATTTTGTATAAACGGTGGGTATGACCCCTCTAGGGCATAGGGGTGGGCGCGCCCGGGGCTCTGTTTGAAGTTTGTTCTCGCTATACCTCAAGTACTGGATTGATCTTTCTGAAATTTCATATGTACTTACAGCACCTACCATGGAGTGCTATATCTTTACTTCATACCAATTATTTTATACATATTCAGGTGAGCGATACCGGCCCTCTGGGCCTCTTGTTTAATACAGGCTCATTTTAGTGTAAGCAATTTGGGTTTCAGTTTTTTCTCAAAATAAAGAATGAAAGCTGTTGAATTAGGTTGTGTTTGTGAAATGGTTACAATTGTATTTGTAACAGGTCATTATTTTTGTATGCCTCCGCTAGGATCTCTGGCTAAATAGTCTTACGCTCTACCCAATCAGCTCAAGAGAAGTTTTCCCTAGCCGAGTCAGTATGAAGTGGCTAGTATTTTTCAAGGGCGACATATTTATAGCTGATATTTAAGTGTAATCAAGTGCCAAATTTATTTCATTGTATTTAATTTATCAGCATACCTGGGTGACCTTGACCTGTCCAAACATTATAGAGAGCTGTAATAGGTAATTGGTCCAAACATTAGAGAGCTGTAATAAGTAGTTGGTCCAAACATTAGAGAGCTGTAATAAGTAGTTGGTCCAAACATTAGAGAGCTGTAATAGGAAGTTGGTCCAAACAGAAGCGAACATACTAGAATTCTGTACAATAACTTTATTTCATAAATCTATAATATATAAAGATTACATGTGACAATGATTTTACATAGGGAATATAACAAATGGTCCAAACATTAGAGAACTGTAATAGGTAGTTGGTCCAAACATTAGAGAGCTGTAATAGGAAGTTGGTCCAAACAGAAGCGAACATACTAGAATTCTGTACACTACCTTTATTTCATAAATCTATCATATATAAAGATTACATGTGACAATGATTTTACATAGGTAATATAACAAATGGTCCAAACATTAGAGAACTGTAATAGGTAGTTGGTCCAAACATTAGAGAGCTGTAATAGGTAGTTGGTCCAAACAGAAGCGAACATACTAGAATTCTGTACACTACCTTTATTTCATAAATCTATCATATATAAAGATTACATGTGACAATGATTTTACAGAGGTAATATAACAAATGTACCAAAAGATTGGCATATGGACACTTGAATCTGTTATGGTCTTTATGTAAATGCTGATGCTTTGCCTCGATTCAAGCCATTTTAGGTTTTATTTGACACATCTATATCGAAGTATGAATCATTCACACTCCAATAAATGAACAATCAGTTGTGTACAAGATATTAAAGCTGTTTCAATACCACTGTATTTCCTGGAAGCCAACGCCAGAATTTAACCAACCAACAAGGGCAAAAGTCAATGACAAATATACAAATTAATTTGCACCAAAATTTCTCCAATTTGTTCTATACAAAAGTTTTTCAAATTATCTTTGCCTTTCATAACATGCACACAAGCTGGTAAACAAACAAAACAAACAAAAACAAAATATGATTAGACAAATTTCCATCTGTAAACTTTCTTCATCAAATTAATGTGACAATTTAAGTTGTGAATTCATAATTTTAATGAAAAAAAATACTTTAATATGTTTAATTGAAAAATGAACTTGTAATGAAATCATTTGTGAAATTTGTGATTATAAGAACGAAAGTGACCATCAAAGGAACACATATAATACACAATTCCTGTTTCCCTGAATCAACCCAATCAGTTTCCATGTATATAACATAATGGAGCAATCAAGAACGAATTGTTTTTAAGGGGACTGCACCTGGTCCTGTGATTAAATCAATACTAAATGTATAAACAAGTAGATAAAACAGACGTAAACTCCAACAACAGACCAACATATCAGTGGGGGGTGTGTTAAGCATTTTTGTAACACAAACACAAAATGCACGACTATAACTCATTTCTCAGCACAGCCTCTGCAACGCAAGGCAAAGCTCATTTAATGTAGATTATAAACGGAATCCTTCTTACAATGTAGGTGATGATTAACTATGTATCAATGATGAATATGTATACAACATGGTTTTCCATCAACCAATTGAAATGTCCAATAATTTCCTCCAAGTTGTCACTACCTACATTTGGTAAGGGTAAGAAATGAACACCTTCCTGAAACAATCTGATAATGACAAACAAATATTTGAAATTTTCAAAATATATATATCAACATCAACCCTTCATTATTTCTACATCTATCTACATGTAGAGTAAAAATATCTTGTCTATCAGACAGACTGAAGTGTATCCTCGTTAGGTATGGGAATAATAATACATTTTAATATAGTTATCACTGTTAAATAGTTTGTTAACATAGACAATTGTTATCACTATATGTTCAAGGGTTGCACATACAGTAAAGAGCTTGGTCTATAAGGCAGTCAAAACAATTTCTTAGTCGTATATTGAATGTTTCCTTATGCGTATCAATGGAACTGGTAAAACTTAAAACCACTCATTATCTCCTAATTACAGCACTACAACCTTTAAAGATATTTTACATAAGAAGAAAAGAATTCTGTCATCCAGTTTGATTTCATCAAGACCATGAATTGTACATGTATATAGATATGTATACCATCATTTACTATATAACTCTTATCTAAAGGTGATCAATGCTTTCCAAATTCAGTGTTTTAAGTAATCCAGTAACACATTGTGCGACTTTATCACAAACCTAAATATGTATTTAGTATTCTTTGTGTAATATTTGCTATGTCAATCTTCAAAACATCGCAGTCGAGTCCATCACAATCTTTCAGACCACTATTTATATTCAAAGGTAATTATGTATTTATACATAGAGTTAAATATCTTTGATAGAATCAAATTAAGAAGTATTTACATAATGGAGCCCTATTTTGCTCTCTTTGCCGTCAGCCTCCGAATCTTATTTCTATATTGATCATGTTGACTTGGCAGCCGTGATGTTGCGAAGATGTACAATATGACCAATAAATTAATAGCCTCTTCAATTTCTATTAGGAATAGTCTTGTAAAACAGTCAATAAGATGAAGGCACAGTAAATATATTTAAAATTTAGGCACAAGAAGTGGACGGTGCTTGCTTTTGAAAGACAGACTTTGACAAGTTGGATGAATTTAGAACTACTGGCTTAACATACAGTACCATTTCAGTTGCCAACACTTCAACATTAGTGTGTTACAAATTCAAATAACTTCACCAAGATTAAAATAAACTTCCATATAAAGAAAAAAGTTGCACAGGACTTTATGTTTAACATCTTGTGCAGGAAACATGGTCTAGTTTTCATTCACTGGTAATAGAACAATACTTTTTCCTATTAATCATCATTAATACAACATTACAACCCCATCCGAAAATTAGGTTATAATAATCTTACAGGCAATAAACATGAATAACATATATATATTTAAACAGTGTAAAATAATTTTCTGCACAAACATATACATGATTGGACACTTATGTAAAATGCTTTCTCTGAAATCTGAATAATATTTTGACTTCAAGTTATAAGTTCTAGTCAATACACAAGGGTATGCACAATATATGTTACCTTACAGACAGTACCAGAAATAAACAATAACGAACCAATACACCATATGGAAAGCCCTCTTTCCTACAGGTGAAGTCTCAACAAAATATAACATTATGTTCTCGGGTCTAGACTATGAAATATGAATCGATATATATGAATATATATAAACAATATACAGTCATCATTTTGAAGTTAAAGTATACAACTGTATTCTCAGTTTCTTGGAAGATTACTGAAATCATCCTTTATGTATAATTAAAAGGTGTCTGTTTGTTATATAAACTGCCTGCCCAAGGCATTTAGCAAGAGCCATGCATTCCAATGGAAATTTGATGAGTGTTTTGGGCCTTCCAAGCACTAAATGGAAGAGGCATTGAGACTAAACAAAGGTCCATATTTTTAACCCCCTCCTGTACACTCAAGCTCTTGCTGAATGGTTACTTAAATCAATACCGGTACTTGAATGGTACCAAAGACTTTCGGGTGCAAAGATCATAAGTGCACAAATATCAGTGACTTAGACATGATTTCTCCAATCTACTCTTAATCTTTAAGACTAAGAATAGAACTGGTATTCACTCATTTGTACCACTATTCTCGTCTGGATTATCTCCATTTGTGAAATTTTCCTGTCCCTCATCATTCTCCAACTCCTGTTGTTGCTGGTATACCTCCGTGTTGATCTCGTCCGGTTCTGGCATTTGGTCCTGGTCATCTCCATTCTCTCCGTTTGGCTTTGCTTCCTCCTCCTCCTCCTCCCCGTTGTTGATCACTTCCTCCTCCTCAGTGTTAACTACCTCCTCCTGGAGGTATTCCATAGGCACACTTATCGTGGGGGGCTCTAGCTTTAACAGGTGTGGGGACTTGGCCCCCACCAACTTTTTGACAGCCTTCTGGATGTAATGTGAAATGATATCCCTGTCTGCTGGTAGCGTCTGTACAAAGGCCGGTACAGAGTAGGCATTTTGTAAGTATTTCCATATTCCAGAAAATTCACTTGGAATCATGTAGTTATTGAATGCCTGACAAATAAAGCAGAAAATCAGTTTATAATGAAATCTTGACAGTTTTATATAGTACTAAAGCTGAAGGTATTTGAAATGTTGTCAAAAGCAAAATGTTGAATATCACAATATTCCATCTGGATTAATCTCTCTATTAATTTTTATTTCTATCAAAATTTTAAAACAGAATAAGTCTTGATAAAAAGCCTCTGATTTTATTTGCTTTTCATTTACCCTTTTTCTTAACTTTTTCTTTGAATGTCTCCCTATTTGTATTGCAAAAATACTCTTTTATGTAAAATTCCCACTGGACAAATCGTCACAGTATACCTTTTTTTTATTCCAAAATTTTCTGCCAATATTTTGTAAAATTCATCAATATCAATGTGAATCAAACGGTTAATCTTAAAGAAATGTCTTTTTTACCGAAGTCAATATCTAATTCACAATTAACCTTTTTACGCTAGGAAATTGCGTATCAAGACAATATTAGCAGTACTGGCTACTTTAAAAATATTTTGAGCATCATGATTAGCATACGCGACGTAGTAAATCTTGGTACTCAAACTGTTCAACACACTTACATCACCAGCTACCCGGACATGTTGCAGTTTTGGCAAAAGGCAACAGTCGGCATACGATAAAGAATTTCCACATAGGAACTTGGTTTCTAATTTGCAAAGGTGTTGATCTAAGACTTTAAGGTAATTTGTTAATTTTACTCCATCTGTGTCATTGCCTTGTAGATATGCGTTGAATTTCTGAAGAAGAAGAAAACAAAATCTTGTTAAAAAATCTTAACGCCTTATAAAATATTTCAGAAATCTATAGGTTGAGCTAATAATAAACAACCTGTTCTAAGGAACGACCAATCTCAGCAAGTCTATAAGCACAAATATGCCTGGATATTACTTCACACTCGAACCTTTACTCTGTTATGGCTCTTCAAGATATATTACAACAGTTCAATTACACATATCAGACTGAGCAGCAGGACAGGTAATGCGAGAAAATCTTGATGAATGTACCAATGCATTAGCCAAGAGTTCTACTCAGAGCTGTCTTTTATACTGGAGTAGTCTCCCCTTTCATGCAAATATTTAGCAACCAGAGTTCCACCCCACCCCCGACAAAAAGCAACTTCACTTGTCAAGGTATTAATCTCTCAATGTTAATGATTTTACCAATAGGCCTTACAGCCTGATAGTTCAGGTATCATTTCAATGTTGGTTAGTAACAATGGTTAACGATTGCCAGTGTAAAAGCTCTCTAATTTAGTACACCAGAACACTTTGTTTTTAATGAAATATTTCTGCAGGTGACTTAAATAAATCATAAAATGACAAGAATAATAAGTACTTTGACTTGATGGCTCCCTTTACCTTACATTATAGCTGTGGAGGAAAGAATCATCAAGGTTAATCACATGCTAAAGGTAACTCATCCCCACTTTGACCTTTAACCCAAATACATATCACCAACTGATCATGAGAGTACTATCTTTTAGGTTTTATAATATATTATCATACAGGGAATTTGAGAAGGGCAGATAGTCTTTCTATTAACGGAATATAAATATTTGGACAAGAAGTTTACTTTTTTTTGCAAATTACATCAAATCTAATGAAAAAATGTACATTTATATTTCCAAAAATACTCTTTCTACTGTTGTTTTGGATTGCAGGCAGTAATAATGATCGAGCAGGATAAATGGGAAATAGAATTGGCAAGCAAGTTAATTTTCACTCCCATGAAGTTTTCATGTAGTGTCAACGTCGATGTCAGCTGATTCAGCTTCTTGAGACTACTATGCTATGTGAATATTTTGATTACTGAATTTCATATCCTAACTCTTTAAATTGACTTTTAAAGTTTAAACATTCCATTAGGCATGTACACAAAGTTCTATTTATGTCCACAGGCTGCCATACATGTGTTTTAAATTATAACTGAGGTTTACTCTCACTTCCTGACCGGGCTTGTTGTGTGAATCATACACCACCGAATCATGTATCGGTGACCTCTGGTTCTCCACTCCCTGCTGTATATGATCTAACATGAGCAACAATTAAACTAGTTTTTCACTTTGTTTCCCACCCAGTTAAATATGTTGGTTATCAGTAATCCCTCCACATAAACAGTTTACCACATTTCTAATCTGTTTTATACATCAGCTGTGTATATGTATCATATTCTAGTCCAGCTACATTTAATTCACACCCCAATGTGTCTCTCTACCTCTATATACATATATATATATATAGATCACATACAATATACATGGTACATACAATTGATAGTGGGAGGGAAGCTAAAATAACCCCATTTACACTGCAGCAACAGTGAAAGTCAGTGAAATTCATTATAATGCACTAGCTATATATAGAGGTTAGTGACATTCTTAGCTCCATGACATTACATGATGTTGTACTGAAGGTCAGCGACATTCTTTACAGCGTAATGAAGGTCATCGATATTCTTTACAATGTACTAAAGCTTAAGGTCATTGATATTCTTTACAGCGTAATGAAGGTCATTGACATTCTTTACAATGTACTAAAGCTTAAGGTCATTGATATTCTTTACAGCGTAATGAAGGTCATTGACATTCTTTACAATGTACTAAAGCTTAAGGTCATTGATATTCTTTACAGCGTAATGAAGGTCATTGATATTCTTTACAATGTACTAAAGCTTAAGGTCATTGATATTCTTTACAGCGTAATGAAGGTCATTGATATTCTTTACAATGTACTAAAGCTTAAGGTCATTGATATTCTTTACAGCGTAATGAAGGTCATTGATATTCTTTACAATGTACTAAAGCTTAAGGTCATTAATATTCTTTACAGCGTAATGAAGGTCATTGATATTCTTTTCAATGTACTAAAGCTTAAGGTCATTGATATTTTTTACTGCATAATGAAGGTCATCGATATTCTTTACAATGTACTAAAGCTTAAGGTCAGTGATATTCTTTACTGCTAATTACTGAAGGTCATTGACATTTCCTACAATGTACAAGGTCAGTGATATTTTTTACAGCATACTGAAGGCCAGTGACCTTCTTTACTGTACATGTGTACTAAAGGTCAGCGACATTCTTTGCAGCGTAATGAAGGTCATTTACATTCTCTACAATGTACTTAAGGTCAGTGATATTCTTTACTGCTTACTGAAGGTAAGTGACATATATACTGCAAACACCTTCTCGTGAATGGATGACTGTTTTTAGACAGACATAACACCTTGATTTCCCATCATCTAGGTGTTAATTTTGTCTAAAAAAGAACTTTAGCTTCAATTTGTATACATTACCTAACATAAGTATTAAATTTAAACTGCAGATAATTAATTCAAATTTCAAATATCTTGGGAACTACACATTATCCTAATGCTGATCTGGATCAGGGGAACCTAATTATCAAAATTTATCACAACCTATATATATATATATCAACTAATGTAAACATGCAAATCTTAAACTTGATTACTTTATTTTTTACCAGTACAGTAATAAAAACATCTACTTCAACTATGGTGTAACATAGAATTTGTATATGTTTTGGTCTTACTTTTTTGTATTCATGCATATATACACACAGAGTATGAACTAAATATGAACAGCTGACCCGGAAAGACAATTACAATATTTAAGCAAATAGGTAGTAGGATTCTGCATGTACATGTATATATATGTACTTTTTCCCTTCTTGGACAACAATATTATGAAATTAATTTAGGTTAATTTTAATCTGTCTTCAATTTATCTAAAAATAAAAGAAAAAACTCAATAAAGCTGGAAAAATAATAATAATAATAAAGAAGATGTTTCAGAAATAATTTCCTGAAATGAATACAACTGATAATGATGTATGATTTAAGGAAATCTTATAAACACCTTAATACTGAACTTCAAATACCTGAATATATGTATAATACAGTATGTATAATTCGACACAAAAATTGTACATGTACATTTATATACATTCATGTATGTCCCAAACACCTGAATATTTACTTTGTACACCTGTAAAGGTTATGCTAATTAAGCTCTTCCAAAATCTAAAATGACGAATGACAATTAAATTGCTAATTCATGCAAACTAGTCACTCATACATTCATCAACTATACCTTACATAATGTAAATGACAACGCTAACCTTGTCTAATTCAAGACTTGTCTCAATAAATGCATTTAAGTGGCCACATCAATGTCTCGAGCCTCAACTTATACATGTGCATGCATATGTGCCTGACAATTTAATCAACTTGATTTATAAGCACTCTCTAATGTGGAGTAAACAAGACATTTGGTCCTGGCGTGGCAAACGTGTGCTGTAACACTAAATGACTACGAATAATAATAAACCTGACTTCAAATTTATCAGAATATTAAATATTGAAGTCTGGATTTAATACAAATATATTTGTACCCCCATAGGTATTTAATTTTTGACCTCATTTAATTTACTTTAACACCAACATACTGATCAAAATTAGATCTGATATCAGTCACAATCAGGAAGTGATCAAGTGTAGAAAATCATTGATTTTTGGGACAGATATTGGAGTGTAGGACTAGGTTCTAATACCCATGGAATTCTCCCATGTTTTGAAGATCCACTATGTCTATAAGTATCAGGACTCATCAATATTTAGAAAAAGATGTTAGGTACTTGCCTGAAAAAAATCCTTTAAAAAATCCCTGGAAACTGATCATGAACACAATAGAATTATTTCTGCCGAGACAAGTTGCTGGTATGACATGCATCAATGTGTGTCTATATAAACCCTACTCTACAGGTTAGAACACATTGCATGTTGGTTGGCAGTTGATCTCGGAACTACATCCTCAACGTCAATGTCAGACGGTGCAAACCACTATGTACAGTACTCAAACCTTTCTAACGGGACACCAGCAGGTATGTGATGTATATATATATATATGCCTCACACATGTGTACATGTCAAGTATGGCAGACAGTGCCATCAACCATGTATAGAAATTTGAACAACGTATCCTCTAGGGAAAACCTGAAGAAAATGTTTAGAAATATCCTCTCAAGTCTTATTTTGTTATATCACTTCTAGGTCATACAAAATTCTATTGCTGTTTTAGGGTAACATCCTGATTGGTTGATAGGGTAACCGGTAACCTTAACAAAATTATTATTGTACATCTATTTAGCCTTACTGTATTTTCTTTTTTTTATATAATTGACAAATGTTTTGTTGACATAAGTTTGTCATTTCGAAAATTAAATCGAAATAGAAAATAATTAAATTCTTCAAGTCTGAACAATTTTTCAAACATCCCATCCCGAGAGATCCCATGTTAACTTGTTTTAGGTCTACCGCTACATATAATACTATCCAAGTGGGCGGATCCACCAAGTGTATTTATAGCACAGATTGTCCCATCACAATTCCAGTGTTGTGTATCAGATGTTTTCCTCTACTGATTGGCATGCAACTGGTATTCACTAAGATCACCCAAGCTTGGTATATTATGTTTACATGTAGACAATTCAGACATTTTGCAAAGGTGTGCAGTTTAATACCTGAAAATCACTTTCCTTATTATTTGTATCAAGTTCACAATAGAATTTTGTGAATCTTAGCCTAATAGTCTGGGAACTAGCAATGCTATTCTGATATTTTTTTTAGAATCAGTTGATGCTATAAATGTATCCTATAGAGGCCTACACATCCTGTACAACATGAACTAAGATCTATATTTCTATGAAATAGGATCTATGTTTTANTACTCTACAGGTTAGAACACATTACATCAATGTGTGTCTATATAAACCCTACTCTACAGGTTAGAACACATTGCATCAATGTGTGTCTATATAAACCCTACTCTACAGGTTAGAACACATTGCATCAATGTGTGTCTATATAAACCCTACTCTACAGGTTAGAACACA